TGACTTATGTATCTTTCATTGAGATTCCACCACACCATAAGATTCTATTTAAGTGCTCAAACAATCATTTGTTCAGCTTGTATATTATATGTTAATTTCATTATTTATTCTTATTGGATCTCAATGGATCATTTTTTTTCTTTTATATTTTTATTGATCCTCATTTGTTTACTTGTCAATAAAACATTGATAATTTTCTTTATTATTGATCTCTCATTGACTCTAATGATTACTTCATTCACACGAATTATCTTTTTATATCAAAATAACACATATTTCTTGTTATGAACTAAAAAAATTCTTACTTTTTATAAAAAAATTATCAACCATAGTTTCTATACTCTTGGTTTTAAATTACCTAATAAGAAGTACATAAATTTAAGTACTCTTATATATATATATATAAAATAAAGATAAATAAGATTTCTTTCCTCAATAAATTATTAGCATTTCTTGTACTCAATTTTATACTAATAAAAACCATTAATAGAATTTATTTTCGTACTTACCGAATGTTACTACAAGAAAAGTGAGTTTTGACGATGTGCCTTTTAGCGATAACATGTTTCCGCCACAAGTTATAGCGTCGACATATTGTTGGTGTACTCTTTCTGATGATAAATGGACATTTAGCGACGACAAAAGTCGTTGCTAAAAACCTTGTTTCTTGCAGGGGGCCTTGTTCTTACGTTCGCCCAGGGCCTAAAAAATGTCAGGAACGGGCCTGCACACACACACACACACACACACACATATATATATATATATATATACACACACATATGGAGAGAGGGGGGGGGGGAGAAGTTCAAACAAGAACAATGTCAAAATAAGAAAACACGAGAACGACTAAATCACATTTATTTTTCTAATGAATCACATATGATAACGAAACACGGTCAACACAAGGGTGTGCGAGCGACTTGGCTCGCAACCTAAGTCACAGCCAAGGTCGTGCAGGTCACCTGTGATTTTACACTAGTGACTTTACATGTGATTTTAGCGTAAAATCACATGTTTTTTTATTGTTCTGACGCTTTCTTATTTTATCATTCGTTTGAACCTGACATCCATATATATATATATATATATAGAGAGAGAGAGAGAGGAAGGATCGTGTAAGAAGAAGAGATAAGGTGAGAAGGGATCTGTACCCTTGATCCTTTTTAATCTCAAACTCACCATGAATCGCTTTTGATATGGGGATTGATCTGGTGCATCTCATCCTAATATGCATTCAAGGGTAGAGATCCTTCTTACCCTTATCACCATAACTTTAATTCTCACCGGAACCCAACCCTATTTTGGGAGCAAAAATTCAAATATAGTAGGACAGTCCTTTTTAAGATTTGGAATCATTAGGCACTCTTTTGATATCTACCAAATTATAAGGCATAGATTCTCAAATGCAACTTATTTTTAATATAAAAATAGATAAATAAATTGTGTTCTAAGTTAATCTAAATCATTTGTATCAAATTGTTACATTAAAAATTAAAAGCAAATACTAAAATTATTGTTATGTGACTATTCTTATTTAACAATTTCGAATATAGAACAAAAGGTGAAACAAAATACAGTTTGTTTACCTCTTAATGGTTTTATTAAGAGGCAGCATCTGAATCATTAAGAGCTGAATCTTATTTAACAAAAAAAAGGTATGCTTCTTAATGGTTCTAAAACCCTCTGAATGAGTTTGTATCATGGATCTCCTTAACCATTCAGCGTCCTAATTTCATTGTAAACAATTATATTTCATTTTTCACTATATCATAAGAGTCTTTTAATCATTCTAACTATTTAATCATTCTGCACCAAACCATTTATCAACTGCTAAACAGTCCTAAGTTAATCAAAATTGACCCAACCTAAAAATTTACCACTCTCTTAGCCAACCCATTACCAATCAGTTCTTTTCGTTATTTTTGACACTAAAAAACATAAACAACACTTCCACGTATTTAAAAACCATGTTTACAGATTTTCTTCTCAGATTCTTACAGTGACTGAAATCACTACTGAGCTCGCCTCATTAGAGGGCTCTTCTTACGTTGTTATTGGGTTAATTATATCAAACCAAGTTAACCCACCCAAAAATTTTGACCAGTTTAACCTTGTTCATGTTATCATACACAAAAAATGTTAACGATAATTTGCAGATTTGCAAAAAAGTTTATTATATATTAAGAGTTTTTCTGTGAACTTCTGTGATGTCCAAAAACGCTACAGTCTGGAAGACTAGGACCACGATCATGCCGTTTTATGGGTTCTTCTCGGTCATAATCTTCATGAGGTTTTTGGCAAGAGTTTCAAATGTGGTTCATATACTGCTTTTTATTTTCGCAGTTATTCTGTAGGTTTTAAAAAGTTAAAGAAAACAATACTAATTACCTCGTGATGACCAATAATCTTAAAATATGTGTAGTTATATATATAAAACAATATCATTTTTGATATTTTCCAGCAAAGACATAATGTCAGTAAATCATAATCTTACATTTTTAATTGAAGAAATGGCAAATTGCATGAAAAAATAACGTACTTTAACTTGATTCATATTTTGGATAACGTACTTTCTAAACTTTCATTTTGGTACCTATGATGTAAAGTTTTAAATATTTAAGTACCCGAGCAACCAGTTGAAGCATAAACCGGTTACCATGTTGATGTGTCGAGTGATGCGATATCAAACTCAGTATAAAATTTTACTGAATTTTAAATTCAAAAGGTAAGGCAAATCACTTGACACATCAACATGGTAACCGGTTTATGCTTCAATTGGTTATTCGGGTACTTAAATATTTAAAACTTTACATCTTAGATACCAAAATGAAAGTTAAGAAAGTACGTTACCTAAAATAAGAATCAAGTTAAAATACGTTACTTTTTCATGCAATTTACTCTCGAAGAAATGCATGATTGTTTAACTTATTGTCATTAATTTGTTTGCTTTAGATTTTTTATTTCAAAAACTTTGTAAAAAATGTTGATATGACTGGTTTCGTGATTTCTACTTGAGTTTTTGTAGTTGTATAATAAATAATAATACTGTTTTAAGATTAATTTAATTCAAAGACAAAAAACAGATACAGATAGAGATACAAATACACAAGCAAACACGTTATTTATTAGTTTGTTTTATGTCCAAATCAAAAGAGTAAATTACGGTTTTCATCCCTATGGTTTGGAAATTTCAATTTTAGTTCTCATAATTTGTAATTTATTTTTATTTTCGTTCTTGAGGCAAAAACACTACTTTTAAGTATGAAGGACTAAATAGAAAAAAATTGTAAATCATAGAAATGAAAAAAACAATAAATATTAATCATAAGGATGAAAAAATAATAAATTACAAATTATAAGAATAAAAATCATAAATTCAAAACAATAAGGACGAAGATACAGGTTTTCAGCAAACTTTAAGGACTAAAAATGTAATTTATTCAAATCAAAATAAACAATATGAAAGTGAAAATGGGGAGAGAAAAAACGTGGCCGCCAGGGTTCTCAAGTATGGGAAAATTACAATTTGGCCCCTGGTGTTATTGTGATAGTATAATTACAACCATTAAATTTTCATTTAATTCAATAAATTATATCAAAATGAAATGTAATTTATTATGGTTTCTAATTTAATAAACTATCCTCAAAAGCTATATTTTTGTTTATAGACTTGGGATCACGTGAGACCAGTCTGTTTTCGTGAGACCTGTGAGATCATTTTTTATACTTGAAACTTTACAACAAAACGTTGTGAAGGTAACATTCACAGTGTTTTTGGTGTGAAGGTTCAAATTATTTTTTGACCTTCATAGCATTTTGCTGTGAAGTTTCAAATGTAAAAAAGTGGTCTCACGAGTCTCACAAAAACAGGTTGGTCTCACATGAACCCAACCATTTTGTTTATATACATACATCTCTTTATAGAATTATACGTGATTGCAAACTGTTTCATATATAACAGATGTATAATCTTCATAAGATCACATGTAATTACGAATAACACCAAACATACCAGTATTATAATCCTTTAGACTATCACATGTGATCAGGATTTTTAGAACCCAGTTAAAAAAATTTAAAAAATTATACTGATATTGATATGAAATTAAAAATAATAACTACTTTTTTTCATAACATGTTTAATTAGACGAACCATTAGAGCATTTTTAACGTAATTTATAAAATGGAGAAAACTGGGATCTTTGGTTTTTCTTGTTGTAATATTATCCTAAAAACGTTCTCCAAACTGATGGAGAAAAAGAGTGGAGAATCCCATCTACCTCAGGTTCGAATCCATGCACTGTCAAAGCATAAAGGTTCGTCCTGCAGTTACCCAAAAAAGAATTGAGAAAAAAAAATTATCTGTATTTGTAAAGAAATCTTAAAAATTAAATTATCGATAGAGGCAGATAAGGACCGATTATGGACTGATGTTTCGGGATCGATTACGTTTTATATGAAAATTCAAAGCTTGGCTTGCCCCGAGACCGGGACTAGTTACACATAGGCCCAATTATATATATATATATCAAGTTTCTAAAGATTTTTATGAGGTTTTCAAGTTTTTTTTACCAAAAACTTCAAGTGTTTAAAGTTTAAAATTGATTTTTGGGAGAAAAAAAATTGGGACAGATTTGGGTCTGACCCATGACTGGGTTCACGAGCGTTGGCGGGTTTTGGAGTGTCTGCTAAAGGCTACTGTTGCTATTGTCTTACTGTGTACAGGAACTGTGTGTGACTRTAGCTACCCGACCCCAAGGGATCTATGTATATGGGGAACGGGCCGGATGTTTTTGGTGGGAACATAGACCTGTTATAAAAGGAAAATCCCGAATAGAGACTGATTGGGTCTGATCCGAGACCGATTTGTAGCCCTCTCTAGTGGAAACTGAATGCAATTTTGACTTCTTTTTCTTCTCTGTTTTGGAAACATAGAAACCAAAGGGGTGTAAATTGTAATATTCAAATAATACAAGGTTATTTTGTGACAATCACCAAACTTTAAAGCCCCTAAAAGCAAATACAGAAAGGGTTTTACTTTTTTGCCTAACTACCACTGAGCATACACACTCTCTTCTACATATTGCTTTTGATGATCATTTTTTCCATTGACTCCCACTTGACCCATTACTCAAGAAATTAAACGAAAATGGCAGAGCTTGGAGTGAAAATGGAGGTGGGTTTTGATGGTGTTGCTGTCATCACCTTCTCCAATCCACCAGTTAATGCCTTTGCCATCTCAAGTAAGCTTTGATTCACTTGGTTTTCGTTGGTTTTTCCCCCTTGTTCGCATTCAAATCTCAAGCAAAATAATCGATTTTTGATATTACTGCCTTTCATTTATTCAATTCAATGGATTCTACTAGCAAAATATCTTGAAATTTTTTATTCATTTCAATATTTATTCAATTCAGTATCGGTTCTTCAATCCAGATTCCAGTGTCGGTGCATTATTTCCCATTTAACTCTAATGAAATATGGATTATTTGTCTTTGTTTTGGAGTTTTATGTTCTTAAGTTGTTTAGTAAACTGGGTTTTTGTTAGTACAGTTTTTTTCCCGCTTAAACGTGATGGGTTTTCCTGTTTAGTTATTGCTTCGTTGAAGGACAAAGTTGGAGAAGCTATGAGCAGAGAAGATGTAAAAGCGATCGTTTTGACTGGTAATTCGTTGAACAAGCATTTGTTTCTATTGAATTTAATTGTTGGTTTGATGTAATTAGATGTCATTTTGAATGACGACAAACTGTTTGATGTTTTGTCTGAATGAGATTGCTAGAATTGAATTGGAAGGCTGAACTTTTCTTCTTATCTTTTCATGTAGGTTTGGCAATTGAACTTCAAGTTCCAAACTTTCTGTTTTTTGTTTCTTTTTTCCTATAAAATATTAGAATCCACAAGAACTTTCTGGTTACAGGGGCTAACTTTTTACCCGAAATAAATTTTTGTTTGTGATTACACATATCAACACCATCATCCCTAAGTTTGAATTTTTCGGACTTTGTGGAATAAATACAACATTTGCCATTTTGGCCAAGTTTCAATCCTAGATGAGCACCTTGATCCTTGGTAACCATCACAAAATTTGATGACATTGAGTTCGGTTGACAAGGTTCTCCTATTTTGTGATTATTGATAAGTATTTTTAGATGTTTGATTAATAGACAAACACTTCTTTTTAAACTATGCATCAAATCAATCATTGAACTTATTCATGATGGAGGGAGTAAAGCACTGTCACTCCTAAAGTTCATGATTTTCTGTTTTCCATTGTGGAAATAACAAAATTCCTCAATTTTTCAACACAAAAATGGTAAAAAAAAAGTTCGTAGAACAAGTATGGTGGCATAATTGTTAATTTTGAACATATAACCATGATTGTTTCACTTTACCAAGCCACAAAGGCAAATGTATTTTGATTTACTGTGTGAGATTTTTGGTGTTCTGTTTGTATTTTGCTTGCTAAATCGGAATTATCTTATTTTATATAGGCAAGCATGGGAAGTTTTCCGGTGGATTTGACATCAATGTGTTCGAGAAAGTTCAACAGACTGGTATAGCTTTATCATTTGATATCGTTGCTACAAGCGAGTATTATTAGTTTATTTCGTTGTTCAAACATGTTTGTTGACAATTAAGCATTGTTTGGATTGGCAGGAAAGTTATCTCTTCTACCTGATTTATCCATTGACCTTGTGCTCAACAGAATTGAAGGTCTTATCTGAACTTAAACTTTATGTATATACCAATATAGCCTAATATTTTTTGGGTACAACCCCTTATTGTTACAAATATCTGTTTTGGTTTAAATCTGATATACTTGTGTTTGTTTGGTTGGAAACCTAGATGCAAACAAACCTATAGTTGCTGCGATAGAAGGACTTGCACTTGGGGCTGGTTTAGAAGTTGCAATGGTTTGAAATTCTGGGTGTCAAAAACGGTTCATTTTTTGCAAATTAAAGTTTTTTAAAGAATTCTCATCTGGATTGTTTTAAAACAGGGATGCCATGCACGTATTGCAGCTCCAAAGGCTCAACTTGGCTTGCCCGAATTGTCTCTTGGAATTATCCCTGGCGCTGGAGGTACAATATTTAGCAAACACCTTTCACTTTGAGTTTAGTAAATATAGTTTTATTTTATAATTCGTACTTAATAAAAATCCAAAATACCTTTTTAAGGTACCCAACGACTTCCTAGGCTATTGGGGTTGCCAAAGGCAATTGAAGTGATGTTGGTGAGTTCCTCTCCTGTAATAAGTTTATACATGATAAAACTTATATATTGGTCATTGTGGTTTTCTTATTTTAGTTATCTTTAAACTGTGGTTTAATTTTGGAGTCATCCCCTGTTAGCAATTTTTTCAAACTTTGGATGGACAATGATTGGTACCATTGATATGAGAACAAAATCATGATGAACAAGACTAGTTCTAAATATTAGAAAACAACATTCAGCAAAATAAAGGTTGTACCTTCACAGGTCTGCTTACATAGCACCTCCCCACCCTGCTCTCTAGCGGGATATACTGGGATTATTTGGTTCGGTTAAGGTTGTGCCGTTAAATATCCATGTCAACTTTTTATCTACTTTTTGTTCACACCGCCTGATCTTAAGTGATGAATGGTTTGGCTCACAAAAGAAACAGATATAGAAACGGAGAGCAAGGGGCTGTTTGGTTGGTTTTCCATTAAGTCCTATATGGATAGAGTTGTCTATGTGGATTAATCTGTCTATATAGATCGGGAAGATTTTTGTGTGGGAGTGTTTTTTTCATAGATGGAAGGAGCATGTTTTTTAATTGGGAGAGGCAGGTTTGGAAAAAACTTGGCTTTCTAATTAAAGCGACTCCTTAGAAGCTTACTGAGTAAGCTACTTTCTATATCATTAAGCCACTACCAAACACTCGTGTATAGCTGACCGAATAAGTTGAGAGTCCCATTAAACTCATTAAGCTGCTAACAAACAAGCCCTAATTGTTTTCTGGTGGATCATTGATATTGATTCAAGTATATTTGTTTTGTAGACATCTAAACCAATACTCTCTGAAGAAGGGAAAAAGTTAGGTCTCATTGATGCTATTGTGCCTTCTCAAGAGTTGCTGAAAGTCTCTAGGCAATGGGCATTAGACATTGTTGACGGGCGTAAACCTTGGGTTCGCTCCCTTCACAGCATAGACAAGATTGGCTCCCTATCTGAAGCACAGGAGATAATTAAGCTTGCTAGACAACAAGCCAAACGGACTGCGCCTAATTTGCCACATCACCAGGCATGCCTTGATGTAATTGAGGAAGGCATTGTGCAAGGAGGATACCCCGGTGTTTTGAAGGTATGTTTGGTTGCATTCTCTCTGTCCCAAAATATATTCAACAAGGTTCATTTGGTATGGCCCAAAATCAGGGCTGACAACGGGTAGGGTAAGGTGTTATCCATTTAAAATTGCGGTAATGAAACGGGTAATTATCCATTTCATAAAACCCTTATCCATATCCATACCCTATTCACTAAAATAGCAGGTAGAGAAACGGGTAATGAATAAATGGAAAAAGAAATTCATTTTGAACTACAAATAGTATCGTTAAACCTCAAACATACAAGTAAAACATAAGTTTATAAATATAGTAATTATTTTATATCTAATTTGTTTTAGTAAAAATTGTCATGTTATTATAAATATAATTATACTATGATATTTCAAAACAACAATATAAAAATTGAAAGACAACATCTGTTGTTGTATTTATTTTCCCGACCCTGGCTTGTTTCTCATTTAATTATCATGAAGCCTTTTAATCGATAAATATAAAAAGAAAATTAACATGTATGATAACATTATAAAGAAAAAATATTAATAGTTAATTATATACATATCGTTACAAGTAACAGGTAAATGGTAACAATAAACTGTTTATCCATACCCTACCCACTAAAATGCCGGGTAAATGGGTAATGGAGATAAAAATTTATTCACGTAACCCTCATCCAACGGGTCAAAACATAATGAGTAGCGCACTGCTTGCCACCTACGCTCCGCCGTCCATTCAATGACAACTTCCGGACACTCATGCCCGATCGGGAGACTGCCTGTTGGACGTCCGATGGCAAAGGCATAATGATAGTAGGGTCGGGATATCCCCGCCCTCCCATTTCAGTGCTCGCCCTTTGAATCTTGAGTAGGGGGGGTTTACCCTTACCCATTGCCAGCCCTATCCAAAATAAATGCTTTGTTATCTTCAGGTTTGCCCAAGCTGGCCCGGTCACCCATGGTTACCCAAAGTATGTCTCCTTGGTGGGTGAATAATGTTTGGGTCTTTTGCCATCATTGAGCCAAAAAACAAACTCTTTCAGTATTGAAGTTTATCATAATGTTATACAACCTAAACTATACTAAATTTTATTCCTCAGGAGGCAAAAGTGTTTAACGAGCTTGTTGTTTCAGACACATCAAAGGGTCTTGTTCATGTGTTCTTCGCACAACGTGCAACCTCAAAGGTACACTAGTTGGTTGAATACTCTAAGAAGAAATTTTTGTCTCCTGAATATTTTCTTCAAGCTCAACTTATTTTGTCACGGGCAGGTACCTAATGTTACTGATATAGGGCTCAAGCCGAGGGCTGTCAAGAAAGTTGCTGTCATCGGTGGAGGTTTAATGGGTTCCGGAATAGCTACATCCCTTATAGTTAATAATATATATGTTGTTCTCAAGGAAGTCAACCCTGAGTATCTTCTAAAGGGGATAAAAATGATCGAAGGTAATCTTTCCTCCACTTTTAAAAACTTAGTTCATTTTGCGACTTATCCACCATCATAAAATGGTGACTGCCAAGTGGATATTTAGCATTTAACAGTTCTTCGAGTTTTCACAACTCCACCGGTCAAGTTTTATAACAATTTTTCCCGTAGAAAAACTTAAACGGTATTATTTGCTTGTAGCAAATGTCCGAGGTTTGGTTGCAAGGAAAAAGTTGGCACAGTCCCGAGCTGATAAAGCCTTGTCGATGATTAAAGGGGTATTGGACTACTCAGAATTCAAGGATGTGGATATGGTCATAGAGGTATTTTCTTGTTTGAGAGATCATCTACTAGTATTTCGGATTTTCCTATATATATATATATATAACCATGTAAATAGCACATAGAACCAGAAGACGGGGATACAACTTTTAAGAGAAGAACAAAAAACAAACACAATCCAAGGAGTAAACATTACTTCTTTACCCAAAAAAATGAACCCTTGGGTGCATAAAACCTTAGAAGCTGCTACACATGAACCTCTTCCCCGAGAAGTGCATTCTTAATCTGAAGTTAGTAGGAGGCGAGCGTTTAATATCAATCTAAGCAATAATCCAGCGGATTGACGTCAACTTTAGCCACTAACACACTAAGCTAAAGACCTCATCAATCAATCATCATAATCTCTGCCAATGGGCAAAATTGGGTGTTGCCACATACACCCCTATTTATGCTGGAATCAGGTCAAATTATACATTGAAAATGTAAAAAGTAAGTCTTGATGTCGTACACACTAAGCTAAAGACCCATCAATCATCATAATCTCTGCCAACGGGCAAAATTGGGTGTTGCTATTTGCCCCCTATTTATGTGAGAATTAGGTCAAATTATACCTTGAAAATGTAAAAATTAAGTTTTGATGTTGATGTGTTTGGGTAGGAAATTAGTAGGTAGGGGTGTATTCAGCAGTATATAGGGGTGCATTTAGCCTACCCCTAAAACTAATGTCCCCAACGGAGAAACTAGTAGGAAGCAAACAAAATATTCCAAAAAAAATGGCATATATCTTTGACCACAGAAAATTTCTTAGTTGAAATTGCTTAGTTCTCCAGCTTTATTTTGATTTCAGAAGATAATAAAACTAATGTCTAATGTAAAATGAAAAAAAAAGTTCGCAACTTTAATTTCTAAAGAATTATTCTTGTGATAATGTTCTTTCTATTTCCCATGTAACTACAAAGATTGTGGTGCATAGTTGTTTAATTAGCTACTTGATGACAGGCTGTTATTGAGAATCTTCAGTTAAAGCAAAAAATCTTCAGTGAGATTGAGAAGGCCTGTCCCTCTCATTGTATTTTGGCAACCAACACGTCAACCATTGACCTCAATTTAGTTGGAGAGAAACTAAAATGTCAAGATCGAGTCGTGGGTGCTCATTTCTTCAGGTTAAGTGGCATAACCAGTATCCTTGAAATGTTTTATATACAAATTTTTTTGAAGTTAACGAAAGGACATACTAAGGCCATGTTTGGCAACATAAGATTGCTTATTTTTTGAGCTTATTGAAAAGGTCCCTTTTGGTTAGCCATGAGATAAGCTAAGGCCTGTTTGTTAGCAGCTTAATGGGCTTAATGTGACTCACAACTTATTCGGTCAGGTATACATGACTGTTTGGTAGCGGCTTAATGATATTGAAAGTGGCTTATTCAGTAAGCTTCAAGGGGGGAGCTTTATGCAGAAAGCCAAGTTTTTTCCAGACCTGCCCCTCCCAATTAAAAAACACGCTCATTCCACCTATGAAAAAGCTCTCCCAAACAAAAATCTTCCCAATCTATACAGACATATTAATCCACACAGACAGCTTGATCCATACAGGACTTAATTGAAAACCAACCAAACAACCCCCACCTTTTTCCAACTATACCCTTTATATTTTTTCCAATTAATTTTTCAACTTGTCTTTTTAATTTATTTTACATTTTCATCTAGCTTATAAGCGAATAACTAGCAACTAGCTTATCAGCTACTTTGCCAAACATAGCCTAAAATTCAGAATTCTAAACAGTATGCAAACCCTAGACCCTCTAATACCCAAACTAAGGGATCTTGCTATGGGGTTGGTTCAAATAGAAGGCTAAATATTGTGAGAAGGTAAGAAGGGAAGGTTCAAATATGAATCATTGAAAAAATCTATTTGAAAATGCATATGTGAAGTGACGCTACAGATAATTTATATGGTTCATATGCATCTTCAAATGGATTTTTTCAATGATTCACATATGAATCTTTCCTTAACCTTCCCTTCTCACGATATTTAGCCTTCTTATTTGAACCTCCCACCTCTTGCTATATCATCTAAAGATGATCAATAGTTCTGAACTAACACTTCAATTTTTTTCTAAAATGATGACAGTCCTGCTCATGTGATGCCGCTATTGGAGATCGTTCGAACCGAAAAGACTTCCGCACAAGTGATCCTCGGTCTCATGACAGTTGGGAAAATCATAAAGAAAGTTCCTGTTGTTGTGGGAAACTGTACGGGCTTTGCTGTTAATCGTGCCTTTTTTCCATACAAACAGAGTGCACACATCTTGCTTCTTTTAGGTGTGGACTTATTTAGAATTGACCGATTGATCAGCAACTTTGGGCTCCCAATGGGGCCATTCCAGTAAGCTTCTTTGCGTTGAATTTTAATCGGTTTTACTGCACAAAATCATCTTTCAAATGGGATTTTTTTAACTTGTGATTATAGGCTTGAAGACTTGAGTGGATATGGTGTAGCAGTTGCTGTTGGTAAAGAATTTGCTACTGCTTTTCCTGATCGTTCATTCAACTCTCCTGTAACCGACCTTCTAATTAGAAGTGGACGAAACGGTAACTTTCTTTCTTTCTTTATATATATATATATATATATATATGTGTGTGTGTGTGTGTGTGTGTGTGTGTGTGTATATATGTATATATGCATATGTGTGTGTGTGTTTATAGGGTCAGGTTCAAGGGAAAAACCACAAAAAATGAAAAACAAAGGAACACCCTGGTAACCTTTCATCTGGACGGTATGCACATGTGCTTACAAGTCATTTGTAATTAATTTGTCTGGTATGCACATGTGCATAACATGCACACGTGCATAAAAACCAAGAAACAACTTCAATTACTTGTATGCACATGTGCATACCATCTAGATGAATGGTTACTATGGTGTTTCTCATTTTTTCATTTTCTTGGGGGTTTTGCCTTGAACCTCCCTCTCTCTCTATAACACACACACACACACACACATACTCGCGCACACACATACATATATAGAGGGGATTCATTTACAAACCCAACCACTAGTACAAACCAGCCTCAACCGTCCATCTAGTCTAATGAATACCTGGTTCAGTGAATATCTCGATTGTTTCCTAATTATAAAGCATTGATTATAGTAAATGAACTTTGATGATCTTCCATGAATATCCGGATCATAATAAATGAGCCCTTATCGTTTCCATTAATATCTCAATTAATTGGTTTGTATAGTTTTTACTATTATGTTGAGTACGAATGAAACAACCTCTACATATATATAGGGGAATTATCAAATGAAAACCCCATATATTATGAGAACCGAGAGAACTTTTACTTCGAAGTATTGTTTCGCACATTTTTTTTCATTTAAGGCTAGGATTTAAGGTAATTTGTTTCACAATGTKAAACTTTTAATGCGTATTTTTTTGTTTTACAGACATCTAAAAGAGTTTCACATTGTGAAACAAATATATGTTAATCAATACCTTAAATTATAACCTTAGATGAAAAAAGATCATGTGAAATAACACATAATGCACTCATTCTCACAGTTTGTAACCCTTTTGTGGGTCTCACGTGTTTAGCCCATATATATATATATATAGGGGAGCGATCAAATGCAAACCATTCAATTTGTACAAACCGTGCAAACCGTATTCAACCAATCATAATTTTTCATTTTGTTCA